GAAGATGGAGAGGATGTAGAAGAAATTATCCCAAGATTTAGAAGTGATTTGCCTCGGCTGCAACTGCTGTTAGGAGCGGAGGAGGGGGCTTGATGTGTTCATTAGGAAGGACGACGGCTTGGATGCCCTCATTGGATGAGAGGAGGGAGGTTTGGACGTTTTTTGGGTTGAGGGAGAGGGAGAGTGGGTGGTTATGGGTTGAGGGAGAGGGAGAGTGGGTGGTTATGGGTTGTTGCTAAACCCTTTGACCGTGGACCGTTCGTTGGATATTTGAAGGCCTTAATGATTTCGGAATTTGGTGATCTTGAGCTCGTTGGATTCGTCTCGTCGAGCCGTTCGATTCGAGTATAAGCTCGTCAAAATCGGAGATCGTTTGGTAACTCAAATTGTGGTTTGAACCTTCAGACAATGCTTTGAGCCCTTGATTTGGACTCATTTGGGCTCGGATTGGGTTGATTTTGGTGTCATTGGGTTTGTATTCCTGAGACGCTCAGTTCGACTGTAAGTTTACTGAAATCGGAGTTCGGATGGTCTCCGAATTAATTTTTGAACATTCCAAACTTAATTTTGCATCGAGATTCGTGCCCTATTAAGATAATTTTTGATGACGTATCAATTATTATTATACATATACTTGTGACGAGTCAAAATGGGTTAATCGGAGCCATTGAAATCGAATTCAATTTGAGTTAATTTGATTTGATTTTGATTTGATTGGTGAGTTGATTTTGAGCTCAATAATGTATCAATTTGATCGAAAATAAATTAGATTGAGTCGATCGACATCAACGAATCAAAAAATCGAGCCTGATTTGAGTTGAGTGATAGGTTCGAGTCGATGCTACGTCAATAGGTATCCACCTAAGGGAAATCCTACGGTTGACGTCTATTCTAGGCTACGAAGACCTAGGTGCTAGAATTGAGTCCGGGGAAATTGACCTCGAATAATGAGGTCAACAATCATCACATGTTGCACTGTGTGTATTTATTTATGACTTTGTTGTTTGTCAATAAGTTAGTATACCCATATGTAAATCAATGTTTAGCTTCCCAGTGAATTGCATTCATTGCATATTCTCCTCGTATACATTGACTTACATGTGGTTGTGTTCATTTGCAGACTATATGATGTTGAATGTGAGGAGGCTGTTACATTCATTGTTCATTTATGGTTGTCATATTGACTTCATTTATAGACAACACACTGTAGTTATGTGAAGGACCCATCGTATCCACTGTGTATCCTTCATTATTGAGATGAATTGTTTGTAGACAGGGTATGATCATGAACACCTTATTTCCACATGCTCGCCAAATTTAATGATCGATACTTGTGATCTTAAGATAGATCAAATTAAATTTTGATTTTCTAACTATAGTTCAAGTTTGGATCCACAAGTCCTTTCTTCTTATTGGTGATTACTTGGTTTTCATCTTCAACTCATCTTGCACATGTGTTGTTCACTGAAATATCATTATGCTTCCACTTGCAACTAATCTACACATGGCTAATCGATGAAAGTCATCATGGTAGTTGAACACTTGCTGTTCACTAGGATGACCATAATGCATTTAGACTTTGATTTGCCTATTCATCCAAGGCCCAGTCCTGTGTTCCGTACAAGTTCTTTATATTTTATGCTATTCAAGTCTCCTGCGATCGGACTCAAGTTCAAGTTGTTTATTATTTGCATCCGAATCCAATTCAACATCATTTGCTCAAGCTTATTTTTAAGTTGATTTTATATTTAAGACATGGTTCATTGAGGTTCAAGTTCTCATTTTAATTTCGTTTGCAAGTCAAGTGCATATGCACTATGTCACATTCAAGTCCAAGTTTCACTTGATGATGTACAGTTCGAGTTCCTATTGTTCTTGAAATTTTAGGTTCTTGTTAAAGTACCCTATGGTCCAACTCAAGTCTTTACTTGAGTTCAAATTATGTTCACTTGATATTCAAATCTGGTTCAAGTTTAAACTTATTTTATTTAGGTTCAAGTCTTGATTAATCATTTGATTTGTGTTCAAATACAAGTCTTGTAGTTCATGCTTAAGTCCACTAGTTTGTATTCATTTGAGTCCATATCAGGTTCAAGTGTGGTCTTATGTTCACCCAAAATTTTGGCAGCCTCCCGACGTCTCCCCTGTTTAGGGGAAATTATGAGAAACAAGGCTTTCCCACACGCGCAATAAAGGCATGTATGATAGGTGTCCTTAGACACTACGGCCGTGGTCTTCATTCCCATCACACGCAATAAACAGGTGTATGGGGTCTTCAAATGTACCTGTTTAGAAAAATAGTTGGCTTTCCCCCCGCTCATGGGTACTTATAAGTGACCCCGCCTTGTCACAGGTGTCGCACTAGGGTCCCATCCCACCACACACAATAAAGGCTTGTATAGGCGATTTTTTGGTGCGCCACGAACACCGGAGTGAGGCTTTTAGGTGATTACCCGTCTCATCGTAGGAGCCACACCGGAGTCCTATCCCACCACGCACAATAAAGGCATGAATAGGTAGTTTTCCGGTGCACCACGAACTTCGAGAGCAAGAATCTAAGTTTGGAAGAATTCATACCTTCGCGGGGTTGTCAGCATGCGGATCGAGCAAGGGAAAGAGAGAGGGGCACATTGCTTCTCTTCTTTCCTTTTTTTAAGATTTTAGTTAATTATAATTAATTATGATTAATAGTAATTAATTAAAATTTAAAAATAATTAATTGTAATTAACTTTAATTAATTATAATTAATAATAATTAATCAAATTAATAATTAATTAAAATTAATCTTATTTAACTATAACTAATTATGATTAATATTAATTAATTATAGTTAAGAATAATTAATTATAATAATCTTAAAGTGATTATAATTAATCATGTTTAAGAATAATTAATTAATATTAATAATGATTAATTAAAACTAACTTTGATTAATTATAATTAATCATAATAATATTAATTAATTAAAATTTAAAAATAATTAATTATAATAATCTCTAATTAATTATAATTAATGATATTTAATGATAATTAATTAAAATTAAAATAAAATTAGTTATAATTAATATTAATTATAATTAATATTAATTAACTAAAACTATTAAAAGGATTACATGATTAAAGCTGGATTAGAACATGATTTGAGTAGGATTAGACTTAAATCCTCTATTTTCCTCTTTGCTTTGCTCCAAGGGGCCATTCAGCAACTGGATTTATGCATGTTTAACTGAATAAGCACACGAAGGGAAGAAATATACCTTCACAGAGAGCGAGCTCCAGTTCTTGCTTCCAATCAAAATGTCGGAACTTTCGAACCGACAGGAAGGGATGTAGTAGTAGTGAAGTCGAACAACAGCGAAGGAGCCGAATAAGCTCGCGAGAAGGGAGAAAGTCACCTTCCAAGCAAGCGAGTTCCCAATGTCGCTTCGGATAAAAATGTCGTAACTCCCGATCCGACTGGAAGGGAAGGTCGTCGGGGCGAAGTCGAACAACTAAGAAGGAGCCGAAGTAGCGATGCGAGGGAGAAAGTTTCCTCCACAGCGAGCGAGCTCCCATGTAGCTTCCGACCAAAGTGTCGTAACTTCAGATCCGCAGGGAAGGCAAAGTCGTCGAAGGAGCGAAGTCATCCAACCACGGAAGGACCGGAGAAGCACACGAATGGGCTCACTGCAAGCGAGCTTCGATCGTTACTTCCGATCAAAGTATCGTAACTTTCGATCCAATCGAAAGGGAAGTCATAGAAGGAGCGAAGCCGAGCAGCCTCGAAGCCCTTGTCTCTTCTCCTTTTTAATGACAAGGGTAGAGGTCATGGAGAGGACGAGCGACGTGGGCAACGACATGCATCGTGCGAAGCGTGACGTGCCGCCATTCGCCGCCGCCGTTCCGGCGCCGGCCACCCTAACCGGGTCGGGTCGTGTCAACCCGGCAACCCGCCGGGTCGGGTCCGGGTTCGGTTTTCCGACCCGTTTGTCTGCCCGGGTCGGGTTAGGGTTGACCCGTTCGAACCCGGGTCAGTTCTGGGTTCGACCCGAACCCGACCCGTGACCCGAAATTGACACCCCTAGATAAGCTAATGATAATCAAAATCTGAATCACTTTAGACTCCTTCAAAATTCTGAAATTAATTTCACGTTATTTTGGACTGATCTGACTTATTTTGATATAATTAACGATCACTCAAAGTGTGATTAAAAAAACATTTATTTCACACCCCGACGAAATGTGCATTGTCCTGTGTGCAATGCCGGCTCGTTTTAACTTCTCTTCCAATAAAAAAAATATATATTTTTTGCTCTGGATTTGAAATTTATTACAGGAAGTGATGTGATCTCCGTATATTTTCTTATCAATGCCTGTTGAAACAGTTGAGAAAAAAAAACAAACCACATACACAATCATTGAACCTGTCTTAAGGTAGGGAAATAAGTTAATCTATGATAGCTCATTTTTTTATGCCTCTAAAATGGTATTGGCATCTCATGTCCTAAAAATATTTGGAAGCGTAATGTAGCATTCATCTCCCTATATGTTATTCATATTTATAGAAGGGAAGTTATCTTTGCTGAGTGACTCAGTCCCACCAAATTCATCCACCAAGCGCTTGCATATTACCTTGGCAAACTTTATACAGAAGTACGACAAGAAGGAAATATAGGATTCTTGGAAAGAAGCGTATGGGATTGCTGATATTTCGTAACGCGATGGAATTTTTTTATACTTTCAAGGGGTTCACGAAATTTAAAAGCTTTATTTGAAACCATTTTCTTCCTATTTTATGAAGCAGCTTTCTAATACAAAATTTTTAAATTCAAAAAAAAAATTTTACTAATGAACTGCTTCATAAACAGTAACAAAGCTGTTCCAAACAAAGTCAAAGATTTTAGGTGCACCACAGCTGCTTATTTTTTATTGTGAAAATTTTAAAATGTTGCCTTAAAAAGTGTAAGGGTTGACGATCCAAAATGACAACCGGAACTATACTTCTTTCACAAGATGAAGATGACAATAACAACCGGAACTATACTTCTTTCACAAGATAAAGATGACAATAACAAGAATGATTGCATTAGTTGATAAAACAAGCATAATAAAGATAAGAGCACTTCAGTTAATTCACTGGTAGATAGAAATAGAACGGATAGCTCAAAATTTTGAGCACAGAAAAGGAAAAAGAAAAAATAAATAAATAAAACTTCAACTGTGTCACGAGCTTCTCATAATTTGAGTTTACTCAACTGGATCTTTTGAACTGGATATGTGTAGGCTTCGTAGTTTATTTGCTGACCTAGGGAGCTTAATTTTGTAAGAGTTGTTATGAGATCAACCTGTCAAAGAAAACAAATTACTAGATCGTATGGAGAATACAAGAACAAGAAAACAATCAACTATGTTTAACCAGAAGAGAAGCTGTCAAAATTACTGATGAGAATATATGCAGTTCGTCCGAAAAGAAGATACAGATTGATTGTTTGTATAAACAAAAGGATATATATTTCAAAGTGCCAAAACAAATTTAAATCAATCTAACCTCATAGTCAGTTTGAGAAACAGTTTCTCGACTGCGCTGGTACTTCTCAACCCAAGGTCGCACATCTGAATCAGTTGCAAGCATATTCTCTACTGCCAGTTGGTCTGAACCAAGAAATGCAGACATCACGGCCAACTGCAAATAAACTCTCCATAAATTTTAAGAAATGAAAATGATGATTAAATTTTCAAAGATGGAAAATTGATCCAACATTTGTTTTCGTTTATGTTTGAAAATCTGTCAGAAAGAATACTAGCTTGACTGAAAAAATAATTGAATGGATAAGTCTGCATTAAGTGATTGGTGTACTTAAACGAAAGGCAATAGAACTGAATATTGAGAAACTACATAAAGGGAAATATGCATTGAGTAGACTAGATGACTGAGCGTTAGCGTCTCAAAAGAGAAGACGCTGTAGAAAGAACGAAGAAAAAGTGGGAAGGGAGAATCAATTCATAGAGGGAATGCCCAGAAAAGAAAAGAAAAAACTTTATTCCAACTTTTTTTTAAGAAAATACTGAAGTGATAAATCATAAAGTGCTTGGCTGAAACTCATGACCATAAAGATACAAGTCTCTCCTTCAACGGATAGGTCATGGGTCACTTCACCTTTATTTTCATTTTTAACTACTTCAATTTCAAGATTATGTACACACTATTTATAGAAATAGGCCTTATTACAAAAATAAAACAGCTTTCCTCTATGCAAGTATAGAGATGTTAAACTGTTTCTAAATTATAAATGATATTTAAATAACTAATTATAAACTTAAAATGATCACATGATTCTCTAAAAATATACTATATTACTAAACGCTAAAGTATACTTGGACTGTATCAATTCTCTTGGCATGAAAAACTCTACTTTATAGAGTTGAAATATCGCTCAAAATGACTCGCATAGAGATGGGCGATGGGTTTGAGGATATAAGGAGGGCTTGCAATAGAAGCAAGAGAGTAATGGGTGATGCCAGTCAACAAAGGTAGTTGTGGGACGTGAGCTGATTTGTGGGTGGGGATAGTATAGGTATTTGCAGGATAAGCATGAAATAAGAGATGCGGGGATTATATTAGCACGAGCTGCTCAAGATTTGCACGATAAAAGCGTGTGTGGATATAATGTAATTGCTATAGAGGGAATATTTTTGGGTTGATATGCCGAATGATGTAACTTTGTTATGTGAATAAGTCAGTTGGGTTAAAACTTAGTGTGAGACACAAGTGCCAATATAATTCATTAAAGTGCCAGCGCGATACACGGGAATGAACGATAGATACAAAAGAGTAAAAGAGATGTGAATGTGGTTGCGTGCTAAAATAAGAGCACTAGGAAATTTTCGCTATCTTTTCCAACTGTGGGCTAGTCACTATCATGATTTCTTGGCAACTAGAGAAATATAATATTAATGAACTTGACAAGCACTCTAAGTTATCGATCTGACAAGTAGTGCTCTAGCGGTTCCACAACATGCTTTTTAGGACCCTCTAACGAATAGAGATTGAGTGTAACTCCATGTTCATGTTTAATAGCTCCTAGGCTCTAGACTTCATATGGAGGATCAGAAAACTCAAGCAAAAGGATGTTGTGGATTCATGGAGGAAGCATGGATTATTCTTGAGTTAGAACTAAATAGCGTAAAAGGAAGGAAGGTAGGTGCAGAGGAAGAAAGTATGATGTAACACTAGAATAGAGAATCAATCTCCCAAGAAGATGCTAAAACTAAAAAACATTATTTTTCTATCTTTAATAATAATTATAAGATTATGGGTACTGTTTATAGAAATATATCTTATTGAAAATGGTGAAGTTATGCCTTAAATGCTAACCTCATGAGCATAAATTGATATTAAACATTTTGATGATAATAAATATGATTTAATTTGAGCTAACAATGATTAATATAGATATACGCACATATTTGAATTAACATTTTAGGTATAAACTAGGAAGAGAAAACTTAAGTGTTAAAGATGTTTAGAGAAAATACAGGACTAAAATGAAGCTTAAGATACAAGCAAATCAAACAAGCCTATAACTCTGAGCAATTCAAGGTAGATCATCAGCTAAGCAATCCAAGCAAAAAAGATTTAAAGATAAGAGCTTTAGCTTTTGTTGCGTGTCAGAGAATACGCGGCGGTAGAGTTTGTAAATTCGCGTCCGAGCGTTGCACGTAAGTTTAACACACAAACAGAAAAAAGGGAGTGAACACCAAGAGTTTTTACGTGGAAAACCCAAAAATGGGAAAAACCACGGGGCCTCGCCCAGTTGTAAAGTTTCACTAGTGTTT